ATTCAAGTTTCACTTTTTTTTTTGGTAAGAATACATGATAGGTTTGACCATCGTTTGATCTGAGGTCTTGCTTCCTTACTTTAAAAAAATTAAATAAAATAGAGGAAATAAGGAGCCTCCTGTGGGAAAAAAAGCACAGCTACAGCTGTAGCATCTGATCTCCAAACGGCAAGTCCACGCACAACCTGGGGGGAGGTGACAGTGAACGCCTCTTCACTTCTCACACCACGCTTAGCGTTCCACTGACAGGATCTCACTCAAGCCTCCCAATTCCCCTCAGAAAGAGGTGCTGTTATCCCCATTTTACAGATCTGGAAACCGAGACCCGGAAAAGTTAAGTAACCAGTTTCAAGGCCAGAGATGTAGGGCATGGAAGACTCAGGGACAGCCTGTGCTCATCACCCCTGACCACAGGTCCCACGTCCTCTGGGTCACACTTGCAGATTCTGTCCACCCCTCAGATATCATCTCAAAAGGCAAACAGAAGAAACGTTTTGTGAAAAAACATTCCCTGTTTTCTTGATTAAGCATTTAAGAATAAACTCAAAGGGACACAAATTCTGCCCCGCTAGGAATCTCTTTCATTTCCCTAAGGGAACCCAGTACAGGGTGTGCTCTGGGCGGATGATGGGTCCCAGTGGTGGGAGAAGACGGATTCCAGGTTGCCCCCTTTTGCTGTGTCCTAAGTCTGGTTTCTTTGTTATTTAAATTCAATATTTGATCTCACTTAATGGCAAAAAAGGGTAAAATGTCAAATTTGTATTGCAGACAAAAATCAGTAAAACAAGTTTCACAAACAGGGTGGCTTAAAAAACAGAAATTTACTCTTGGAGTACTTGAGGCTGGAAGTCTGAAGTCAGGGTGTCAGCAGGGCCGCGATCCCTCTGAAGGCTCTGGGGGAGAACTTGTTCTATGTCCCCTAGCTTGTGGTATTGTGGCAGTCCTTGGATGTCTGACTGCCATCTCTGCCTCAGCTGTCACATCAACTTCTCCTTGTGTGTGTCTGTGTCCAAGCTTCCCTCATCTTACAAGGACACCAGTCATATTGGATTGGGGCCCACCCTAAAGACCTCATCTTAACTTGATTACATCTGCAAAGACCTAATTTCCAAATAAGGTCTCATTCACAGGTAACTGGGGGTGAGAACTTCAACACATCTTTTTGGGGGACATAATTCAACCCACAATAGCCATTTAGACCTGGGATTAAGAGCATAGGATGATTCGGAATGAATTCAAAATGTCTCAAATTAGAAGTGATATGAATTTGGCCAAGTTCATTAACATTTCTGTGATAATAAAGACCACCTCATGATATTGTGTGAGGATTAAAAGAGAGAGAGTGCATAAAGCACTGGGCAGAGTGCCTGGCAGGAGAGAGCACGTAGTGGTTCCTAGCTTCTCCTCCCCTCATTTTTTGTAGTTATTTGTATTAGTAGTAATTATTAAGTCTGTGATCAAAACAGGCCTCATCAGGAAGGTGAGGTTTCAGCAGAGCTTGAGGGAGGGGTGGGTTAGCTGAGCTGATTCCTGGGGAAAGCTTCCCAGGGAGATGGAACGCTGGGAGGAAGCCTCCAGATCCCCTTACGATGCTCGACTTGTTTTTTCCTTTTCCCCTTTTACCCCCACATGAGAATCCCTTAGCACAGGGATTTGTTATGTTCCCAGATAGGTCCCAGCTCCCAGAACAGCACCCTGCATGTGGCAGGTACTTTATGCAAAGTGTATTAGTTGCTAAATAAGTTAATATTGAAGCCTGGAGGGATGGGGACTAAACTGCTATTCTTTGGCGTGGTTCAAAAAGTCACGAGATGATGTGGGTTTGGGCCCCACGTGAGTCCCCTCATTCCAGGCTGGTTTACTGGGGCCTGTTTGGAGAGACCCCTCCAAACCAGGGACTACCACCTTCCCCTGTTCCCACCTGACCCTTCTGATTAGGATTTATCACAGGGGTTATTCCCCCAAACAGAGCTTTTTAAAGTTTCTGGAAATTGTTTTAGCTTGCAAAAAATAAGAGGCAGAGAAATGGCACATGGAAACTCCCAAAATATCACAGCACGGCCGCTTCTGGAGTTTTAAGAGTCTCAGGAGCCAGCTCATCGAACCTCCTCTCTCGCAGAGGAGAGGGGCTGTCTGTGCTCAGTCCTTTCCTTCGTTTTCTACTCCTGGCTCCTGAGGTCAGTCTCACTTTTCTTTCCGAGATGTCCTCTCTGTTCTTCCAAAAGGGCAGGGGAGCTCCCCTCACATGTGGCTACCTCGTACTCTTGGTGCATAATCGGTCTGTGCACTTGACCACTCCTGAATTTGTTCGTGACACTCCATATTTTGTGGCAGCTCTCTAACTTCATCAAGTAAACTGACAACACAGAAAAGCCTCATGTGACAGGGGAGTTTCACCAGTCCCAGGATCCTAGTAAATAAACTGGACCTTACCAACCACTTGTCAATATTCGACAAACACTGATCCAGCACTTGCCACGTGCTGGAGATTATCATCTTCCTCAAGGGACGCAGGTGACCACCCTGCGAACAACTGCTACTAACACTTATGTAGTCCTTTAGAGTGTATGAAGTGCTTTAACATTTAAACAGTATGCATCCATATATACATTTATCCCTCTCAACAACTTTACAGATGAGAAAAGCCAGCTAAGCAAGGTAAGGGATTTTACACGTTTGAGGCAGCACAGGAACAATGACTTACCATATGTGTGGCTCAAGCCCTGTGAAGCACTGAGAAAGGCTGGGAGGAGAGGGTCACAGGAGCCATCACAGCGGAAGTTGTATCTGACGGGGGCCTGGGGAGATGAGCTGATCTTCCGCAGGTGGAGATGGGCGGGCAGAGAGCCAGCTGAGGGAGGGGCAGGTGTGGAAGGTTAAGGCCACTCTAGGAACAGCAGGAAGGGCGCGGCAGGGGGCAGGGCTGAGGAAGGACCGTGTCCCAGCTCAGAGGATCAGTTCTTGTCTGCAGGAACTGAGGGCTGTTGATGGTTTCCAAGCAGTGAAATGAAATGATTAGATTTTTGGTTTGAAAATCCAGTCTAACTACTAGGACTAAATTAGAAGGGACGCCTTTTAGGGCTCATCAGTTTGAATACATTCAAAAGCTTTGTCAGAAAGGCTGCCGTTTGATGACGTTTTTTTCGAAGAGGTGGGGAGGAGAGCAGGGGGATTTAAAAGCTCACAGAAAACTTGGAGGTTTCTTGCTTCTGTGCTTGTGTGTGCAGCTGGCAGAGGTGACAGGAGGGCCACATTAGTGAGGTGCCTGTAAGCAGTGGAAGGCAGACCCTGAGCAGCTGTGGAGAGAGGTTAGGGTCCTGCTGAGAGCCCCCCCTTCTCTTGACGACCACCTCGAGGGGCATGTCCCCAGGCTTCCAGAGCAGGGAGGGCCTTAGGTGGACGGTGCCCAAGGCAGGAGCGATGTTCCCTTGTCCTTTGCTGGCCAAGCACGGAGTGGACCTCACTGCGGTGTGTGGAAGTTGCCGCTTGGTCCGTGCAGTGAGGCAGTGTCTGTCCAGAAGCACAAGGTCCTTCTGGAGCCAGTTCTCGCTCCCCACAGGCCTCAGGGGGCACTGTGGAAGGGGGATGCAGGAAGGGGACAAAGCCGTCCTTTAATCACGTATCAGCTCGGCCAGTGGCTTTGCACTGGGGGAGCTATTTCAGAGGCCCACCAGGCCCAGGAGGCTGCCCCAATGAGACAGGGGTCCCAGGCCTGGGTGAACAGATGGCACCTCACCCCTCTCAGGGGCAGCAGCAAGTGGGAATGTGGGTCTGGAGCTGTGAAATGCTCAGATTTTTCATGGGAAGCAGAAACCTGGAAATTTAGGTGAAGCCTCCTGGCTAACAAACAGGCCTGTGGGCTGGATGTGACTGCGTGTCCTGAGCACAAGTGTTTGTCCTGGATGACATGCATCCACCTCTGCTCACCTTTGCCTGTCATGCGAGGGCAGGTGTGCTGGGCACGAGGTGGGAGCCAGGAATCCACCTGTCTACCTATATATGCGAGGGGACATCAAAAAGTTCATGGTAAGAGTTGTATTATCTTTTTTTTTTTTTTTTAAAAGATGACTGGTAAGGGGATCTTAACCCTTGACTTGGTGTTGTCAGCATCACGCTCAGCCAGTGAGTGAACCGGCCATCCCTATATGGGATCCGAACCCGGGGCCTTGATGTTATCAGCACCGCACTCTACCGAGTGAGCCACGGGCTGGCCCGTTGTATTATCTTTTAATTCTGTTTTTCCACAAACTTTTTGAAGTACCCTTGGATATAGATGCCACATCACTTATATACATATATACTGTATGTAGTTACCTTTAAATCTCTCTATATGTAGTCACCTACATACACATGTATATGCCACATCACTTATGTACCTATACATACTGTATGTAGTTACCTTTAAACCTATATATGTCACATCACTTGTACAAAAGGTCTTCAAAAAGTTCATGGAAACATTATATTATCTTTTAATTCCATTTTTCCACGAACTGTTTGAAGCGCCCTTGCACACCTATGTATATGCAGTCACCTGTGTATACATGGAGTCGGTGCACACACTCGTGTGTACACAAACAAGGAGATTAACAGTTTTTTTTTGAGTTTCAAAATTGTGTTGTTTTAGCAGCTTTGTGACTTTTTCCTTTCTTCCAAACATTCCCATTAGCTTAAATTACAATCACTATTGTTTCTATGGGGAAAATACATACACGTGCTCTTTCTCTTATATTTATTTGCTTACTAGGAAATGAGAAATTGACACCTTAGCACAAGAGAAATCTGTGTGGCAGTTTTTAATTAAATATGTTCATATTTAATAATGGAGATATAGAGCTTATGAATTAAACCATTAATGTTTTTTCTGATGATGGGAAAAACGAGATGAGAATTTATGTGCTCCTTTATCTGGGAGAAATATCTAAGTGGAAAACTGCATGTAGAATTTTAATTCATACGAGCTGAAATATATGGTATTTTAAAGAACTTCTTTAACAAAATGGTAGATGGTAGGATTTATTTTAATTTTTCAATCTGAAAAAAACCCCAAACTATCCTCATATATATACAGTGTCAACGTTTTCAGAGCACTTATATTAGGAAACATTGTTTCTCTTCAACTGTATGACAATACTGTATATGCCACAATAAAATTTACAGAAACAATCGCAGCAGTAGTCATACAAACATCATGATTTTACATTTCAATACACAAGAAAAAAAACCACGTTTTCCGGCACTTTGCTTCCTGCCCGCGGCCTGTTTCTACACATGCTGTTAGAAACCTCAGCTTTTAAAACCCAACAGCGGCTATTTTAGAAGTCATATCATTTCCAGATCTTAAAAATGAGAATTTTGCCATTTTAAAACAACCAAGAGTTTATTAATGGATACGGTGAAGTTCACCCACCAAAAGATGTGTAAAAAATTTCATGAAAGTAAAAATAAATAAAGCTGTTGTAAAGCAGCCTTGTTTACATGGTTGCTCAGAACAAAACACACATAAAAGTGTCATTGGAGTTTTAAAGTAATTATTTATATTCAAATTACAACTTTTCGACAAATCTAATGAAAACAAACTGATTTGGTAAAAGGTTCAAAGACTTCCACATTCAAGCTCGGCGTCACTTGGCGCGCGTGGCCCAGCTGCGGGGGCAGCGGTGATGACATATTGCTGTATTCGGACATAAGGCACTGTGATCTGAACATGCCGTACACTCACCTTATGTCACCTGACCTGCTCCAGACCAGTGAACTCTTTGAAATGGAAAATAATAAAAATTTCAGGACACAGTGCACTTTAATGACATACAGCATTTAAAATCCTTCAGACGAAGGTCTGAAAACAGTCATTTAATGCAAGCCTGAATCTTCAAGCACATAAAATCTTTTTTATGCTTAGTTGCAACATCACTGGAAAAAACACCCATCACTAAACCCTGATGTACATTCTTAACCATTTTAGTCTCTTCTATTGCAGCCAGTGTTCATGAGGCAAAACGTGACCTGGAAACTTTGTTCAAGTTCTCCTACGGAGGGCATCTACATTCACAGCGGTCATTCCGTCTCCGTCTCCTTTTGCTTGGCACCTGTTGGTGGACGGAAAATGAAAGTTTCAAAGCTCACGCTAACAGCAGGGTGCCCTGCACCAGTGGTTTCTACCTATGCCCACAGTGCCTTACAAAGATGGTGCAGAGGCTTCCGGGAGGGGGAAGTGGGAAGGAGGAGCCGGGGCTCCAAGCTCTGCACCCCCACCTGCCACTACCGCAGCCTTCATCCGCATTACCTCTTGTCATTTTATTTTTTTTTTTGTGACCAGTAAGGAGATCGCAGCCCTTGGCTTGGTGTCGCCCGCACCGCGCTCAACCATTGAGCGCACCAGCCATCCCCATATAGGATCCGAACCCGCAGCGGGAGCGTCGCTGCGCTCCCAGCGCAGCACTCTCCCGAGTGCGCCACGTGGTCAGCCCACGTCTTGTCATTCTAAGTACGTTTAAGATTTAAGTTGAAAAAACAAAGGGGGTTGCACTGCTAAAAAATTTAAAAAGAAATACGCATGTATGTTTTAGTAAAGGTGCAAAGTATTTCAGTTGTGCACACTTATATATATGTTAAAAAAAAACCCACTATAACATGTCTAAGGATAATTGCGCAAAAAACCTACAAGTATCTGGCCAGGACATTTCAAAGTGAGACAGTAGGGAGAGTTACTGTTTTTCTCATCACAGCAGTTTCTCTCCTATTTTTAAATAAGACACTAGAGTTTTGAAAGAGATTAACAAGGTATTAGAATAAGGGGCTAAAAACTTGTAGCTGCCACCATCAGAGTGTTGACTCACTGGATGCATGTGTGCATACCTACGATCACCTGGACAGACTGTTTGGCAATGAACTATTGCTGAAGACTTTTTGAGAAGAGAAAATGTTAGAGCACTGGATCAGTACTGGGGAGTTGTGGCCATTATCTGTTGAAAAGAATAACTACCAGCAGCTTTCAATAGCATAACAGTGGATACTTCATAAAAGCACCACTTACTGATTATAACTTAAAACACATACCCAGCAGTGCTGGCCCTGGGCACAGTGCCTTCTCCTGCACAAACAGCTTTCATTCAAGTTGTTCATTTCATCTCATAGTGTCTTAGGAGGGAGACAGGCCTGCATCAACCTGCCCATGCTGCAGTTGAAGAAACTGACCTGAGGGAGGGGAAGCAGCTGCCCACACTCAGACAGCTCCTAGCGGGATAACTGGGGTCAGAACAGCAGCGCCGGCACCTCATTCTCTGCTTAGACTGTGCTGTCTCCTGTGCATGTAGGTGCGTGTTATCTATTGTTGATCGGTGAGTTCCAAGTGAGTTCTACTCCAAAAGTTCACTTGTAATCCAGTTATTGGAAACACAGCATTTTCCTCAACCAGCAGTGTTATCTACACAACTACTGTAAAGAATTCCAATCCAGCTACCCCTAGGTCTTTATGAAACGATTTCTATGGTAATAGACATTCCAGATTCTAGCTGTAAAATAGATTTCCTCCATGTACCAGCAGAGATAGGAAGAGCATTAACGACTTTAAATTTCTGAAACATCAAATCTGCATGGAAATTTAAACTCAGCCAGCCCAACCTTCCCATTCTTATGGTTTGAGACGCCAAAGCACAGAGAGGAGAAATCACTTGTTTATTCTGTGTATGTAATGTCCAAAGAATCTCGGCCAAAAGGACAGACAAGAGCTGAAATTCAGCCTGACTCTGCTGGGCATGCTGTGTGCCTTGGTCCAAGGCTGGCCACCTGGAAAGGAGTATCTTTTTCTGAAGGTGCCAAGTCATGTACCTGTGGATGAATCTGCCCAGAGAAGAGGGCTTTTTCTTTTTCTTTTTCTTTTTTAAAGATGACTGGTAAGGGGATCTTAACCCTTGGCTTGGTGTTGTCAGCACCACGCTCTCCCAAGTGAGCTAACCGGCCATCCCTATATAGGATCCGAACCCGTGGCCTTGGTGTTATGAGCACCGCACTCTCCCGAGTGAGCCACAGGCCAGCCCCAGAGAAGAAGGCCTTTTCTAATTTGCATGGAGGGGCTGTATAGCTATGCCTGCTTGGAAATTTATTTAAATGTAATCACAGGGTACAGTCTAGCTTCCTTTGCTCAATGCTGTTTGTGTTGAATGTATTGTTCATTTTCAATGCTGTAAAGTATTCCATTGAATAAATATAACACAATTTATCCACTGTTCTTTTGAAAGCTATTTGAATTATTTCCAGTTTTTTGGTGTTATAAATAATGCAAAGAACAATCTCATATTCATGTAGTTATTAATATTTCATGATTATAAAGATTATTTTGAGTTTCAGGTTATCTAACTTGAAATTTGAAAATGACCGCACCAGACCCCATCTTTAGAGTTTCTGATTCAGCAGATAGGGGGTGGGGTCCCAAAATAAATGTTTTCTAAAAAGTTCCAGATGGTGTTGATGCTGCTGGTCTGAGGACCACCTGTGAAAATCACTGCTCTATTGGAATCACTCTCGGTGATTCTCATTTGGTGAATAAGACATGTTTCTTGCAGGTGATAGGGATTCCTCTGGGGTGGGTATTTTTAGGTTATAGGCTAATTATAAAAACTGTCTTAGCTGAGTTTGATTGATTTCTGAACTAAAGAAAAATCAATACAGTAGTACACAAATCATTTAATATTTAACTCATGAGATTTCAAAGTGCATGCCACTTACTCTGATATCTCAGTCTCGGGTCTGTGTGGCCCTGCCAAAGGCTGGGTTGTTTATATTTGATTAAAACCAAAAAGAAAATAAAAATGGTTTACCAAGTAGTGCACATAAAGCTTCAATCTGTAGGTGGGTGGCAGAGAAATGATGGCTTAATGCTGCACTAAGCGTTCTCCCTCCCACCTTCCCTAGACATGGGTAAAGGTCAGAAACCGTGTTTTTACCTGCTGGTGTGAGTATCAGAGCTTGCAGGATGTCTGACAGGGAAATAATACCCACAATACTATCTGCTTCATTTACTACCACCAGCCGATGGACCTGCAAAGAGGAGGGAAAGCAGGCCACAATGGAAAGTTGAAGTAAAAAAAAAAAGAAGGTTTAAAACAGACATTAGAAAAAATGTCGTTCATATACTTATACAATGAACACATTCCACAAATGAGACAGTAACAGCAAATAGAACCATATAAAGGTCTTTGGCTCTGATGTTAAAATGCAATGCTGACTTGCTTTACTATGTTTAAGAAAAATGAGCCAGTTATATCCTGCTGAGTTTTTGAACTTCAAAATATTAATTTACAAGAGAGACAACTCAAAACATGAAGTACAATGTAGCTACCTACATAACAGTTTCCATTTTTTAAAGTTGCATCTCAGTGTCTGATAACCTGTCTCACGTGGGAAAGAAGTCGGATGATTACGGAAACTAAGAAACAGGGTCACTGCTCTTAGATTTGCTATTTTCTATAGTGTCTTTTCTCTATGAAGTTTATACATTAAAAATATTCAAGAGGATAAATGAACTACAATAAAGTGGAACAGATTATACTCATCTCTAGTTTCCTACTCAAATCTTTTATAAATGAGTGGAGACGTTCTGAAGCATTACTGTGGCAAAGCATCCTTATGGCAGGAAAGGAACAAGTGCATTGTCGCCCTTCTGAGGTCAGAGCTTCAGAACAGAGGCCCGAGGCAAGCACTGGCCAGCTGGCCACCTGGGAGATCCTCTCTGTACTGAACGGTCTCACTCCGGTACCAAATGGGGACACAGGAAGAAGACAGAAAGTCAGGGGAATTCTGTTTTTATATTTTGTCTCTAATGATACAGTGTTGATGATGTTTTTAACATTGTAGCTTGCTTTAGGTAAAAAAGAAAGAAAAATCATTTAATCATCTTTCTCATGTTGGTCACAAATTCCTTTAAAAAATTTCTCTGAAAAACTTTTAGGTTCTTCAATAATCCTGTGATATAATAAAACATAATTATTTATTAACTGTAATTATAAATTAAAGTGATGGTTTATATCTCAGATCAGAATATGTTTTACATACTACACTAGTCACATTTTATTGTTAACATTCAACAATGGCAATTAAATAATTATCTTTTGAACTATCTTATCTCACCCAGAGAACTCAGTAATTCTGCCAGATAGAAATGACCACCAAGAATATTTTCTTGTCATCTGTTGCTGGATCTAAACTTATATATGTTCCTTGTCTGATGTACCTAAAAGTTAATGTTGTATTTATGTCATACAAATAAACTGAATCATTACTTATCCATATACCTTCTCCTAACAACTACATTAAAGCTAAAAACTGGTTTTTGTTTCCTTGTGAGGAGTGACCTTGTGAAAGAATTTTAATGTGGAAAAAAGTCAAGATGTATTCCTAAATCAATTAAAACCCTTTGGAAAACAAGTAGTGATGGATGTTAATTTCAAGTAGAAAGTGGAAAGACTTCATACCGAAATTCTAGTAAAATATGTTAAATATGTTAAAAGGGGGCCAGCCCGTGGCTCACTCGGGAGAGTGCGGTGCTCATAACACCAAGGCCCCGGGTTCGGATCCCATATATGGATGGCCGGTTAGCTCACTGGCTGAGCGTGGTGCTGACAACACCAAAGTCAAGGGTTAAGATCCCCTTACCGGTCATCTTTTTAAAAAAAAAAAAAAAAAAAAATGTTAAAAGGCATGAAAGCTGAAGCTGAGGGAGTTAACTCAGACGATGACAAAGCAAGGTGGAATTCTTGAACATACAATTAAAGGAGGGCTAGATGATTTCTAATAATTATGACTCTTGAACAACTGTGTCTTGATGCAAAATATTATTTTACATGTAACTTTCAGAAAGTAAGCTGAAGTCATCTGTCATGAGCCTAAAAATCTATCAGGTACCTTGCTTCTTGGACTGTATTCTTGCATTCATAGTAATATCAAAACAGACTTATAACTTTGAATTAATTTTGCCTGGCTAGGGATTGTTCCAGAAGGAACAGAGTTGCATCCTTCAGTCTTAAATAGTGGCAAATAGTGTAACATTCCTATTCCTGTCTAACAAGAAAGGAAAGAAATGACTTTTGGAATGGGTATACTGAATTTGGTATGTAGTAAAATGATCTCTCTCATCTTTTATTCCGGGTGTTATGCAAAGTATACTTGAAAATCCTGCATGCAGTCAAATACAAGGGAACTTGAGTGCTGAGGTTCAGGAGACTCGGAGTTACTAGACCACTTCCAGTTTATCTAAGTCAGGAAAGACAGGTACTGGTGGAAAGAGAGAAAATTAACTTAAAAAAAGTTTTATTTTATTGATTTATCATTTGCTTTGTTAAAATCATATGCATTACACATTTTGAACTTTGAATTCATAAATAAGGAACTTAAAGCTCCTGGGATAACTTTTGTTTCTTCAAGTATGTATTTTTTAAACCATGAATGTATCTTACCAGTTAATTCGATTCATCTATGATATCAGGACTTATAAATTCAATTCAATTCAACTCGACAAACCTTTACAGATCACCTACTATGTGCAAGTAATGTGCTGGGTTCTGAACTAAATTCCAACTGAACTTGAAGGCCACCTCACTGGGCTTTTCCTGTGATTCAATATTCCTGAGACACTGATCACTATTTATTACTTGTTGTGATGTAAGGTAGGAGCAAAAAAAAAAAATGCAGGCAGGCATCCGGCAGAGCCGACTCACCTCAGCTCTCACTATTCTGTCCACGATGGTCTCCAGTATCTCCAGCTTGCTGCACTTCACGACACCTTCAAAATACTGGGAGCGGTGCTGAAGAGCCTGGGTCACTGTGATATCTAGGTTATTGTATGTTTTTTCAGCAGCAAGATTCTGAAATAAAGTAGCAGAATACACTAGATCCTTTCAATTCACATTAATGACCAAAATGAATAAGTTTAAGGCAACCTGATTTTTAAAAACTTTAATGTTTATCTTAATTTGGTACCACCATATATCAAAATTTCTCTCTTTTCAGCTTATCACAAGTCGTCAGTATTGTTACTTCACTGTCTTATCAATCATAAAGATTTCGTATTACACGTTATACATTGTTAAATTTTGATAGCATATCACGCCAAAGATTTGCCCCCATTCTTATTCTCTTGTGCTCTATACCATGCTTGAATAAAACCTTTTAAGAGGTGGACCAACACTTGTAAAGGGTGACACATGCCACAGGCCTAGAGAACCTGCATCAGTGGCTTTTCCCAATGAGCTCCCCAGGGAACAAGGTTTTTGCTGGGAAGGTTTTGGGTGACCGAGCAGTATTAAACAATCATGGAGCAAGAACAGGCCTGACAAGACCCCGAGATCCAAATGGCTCTTGGGGTTCTGGTTAATTTTAGAGGGTCCCATTGAACTGAAATTCCAATGAACATATTTTTTGGTGCTTATTATGTTGAACAGAAAAGGATTAGCCAAAAGGTTTGAGACAGCTGCAAAAGAATATTCAATGCAGGGGTCAATATTACGGCAAAAAATGGTGTGTACATTTGGGGCTATCAAGGTATTTGTCCCCTTTCTTAGAAACAGTGTAAAACTATATGGAAGTACATTTAAAATGGGTGGGGAAAAAATCATCAAATGGAAAGATGTAGCACCAATAATACACTGAATACATTAACCAGAGATTCAAAAACAGGACCTGTGTAACTCTATTTAATACATATCTCTATTAATACTTTTGCTGTCTTTAGAACTGTGGCTCCCAATCAGTGAGCATGACAGAGGATCTGTGAACTCATGTGTGCACTGAGCACACGCCCATAGGCAGAGTAAATACTGTCTCTCACACAGAAACATGACCATTTAATATATATACACATGCTGTAGTGACATATAAAATATACATATATTGAAAAGACAAGGAATTATAAAACACTAGTAATATATAATTCATTGCTAAACCAATAAATATTAAAAGTACAATTACTATGGGGAGTCTATGAATTCTCTGATAAGATCCTCATACTCAAAAAAGTTAGAAATTATTAAATCAGAGAACAAGAGAAAGACAAAAACAGGTTAAATGAATATGTTTGAAAATGTATTCTAGATGACAGGTTTAAAACAATTGAAAACAATACTTACAATTACATCAAATTTGGAATAAATATCTACAACTTTTCCTAAAAATGAAAACATATGTTAGAAAAATGTGTTAGGAACAAAAAGTAACTCATTTAAAATCAGTCTTAACTAGATAATTATTAAGGACTAAACACTGATAAATAAACTTGTCTATTTTTAAATGGAGATGAAATCATATCTTAGTGGAAATAGGAAAGGACATCAGTTTAAAATTCTTATTACCCTGCGTACTCCTTGGTGCTGAATATATTCACTGCATCTAAATTTTCATTCCCCCACCTCTCTGATATGCTAGGTCATTTCACCATGACTCTACCCTAACGAGATAAACAATTGTCTCTGTTCAACTGTTATGGACAAACACACAAACCTGATTCATCCACAACAGGCAAGGCTGATATTCGTCTCTCCACAAATATGTTCAAGGCTTTAATGATAGGAGTGTCTGGATGTATAAAGGCAATGTTGTGGTACGTCCCTATTCCGAGCTCATCCAGGTTCTGCTTCATGAAGGCAGGCTTTGGCATATCAGACATCTACACAGGAAGATAAACGCGAATGTTCTAGAATCAAAATATACCCTTCCAATGTGCAAATGTCCAGATTTGAATGAAAAACTATGTACAACAAATTAGTCTTTTCTAACAATCTACCTGGATGTCTGAATTAATATGAAAAAATTACATATAAGAATTGTATCTTTTGTTCAAACCAGTTTGTATGTCTATAGTTAACTACTTAGTAAAATACTGCAAAGCATTAACATTGTAGTATTTTTTCCTTCTCCTCTTCACTCACTAAAAAACTGGATAGAAGATGGGAACAGCAGGTCTATTTGGGAAACTAAGACCTGTAAGCCACCAATAACGAAATCCTTCACTCTTAATTCTTCACGTTAAATTCCAGGTCCTGCTGTCAGCATTATGTAATATTTATTGAGAACCTGCACATTTCCACACCCAAAGCACTTGAAGGTGGCTGCTAGAGCTGATGCCAAGCTATCCTCTCCTCACACCACCCACCTCCTGAATTCTCCTTGGAGGACTCCAATTTTTGTCTACTAGGAACAAAGAACAAGCCAGCTGAATTGAATTAAAAGAATCTTTAAAAATTAACTTTTCTTTTTCATGGGCTGGTTTAAAGGAGGAGGGATAAGTCAGAAGAGAAAAGTCTAGGATCATGTTTGACTATAACAAAATAAGGTCTACGGTTTCAAAAATCCACCTTTTATAAAGGGTATAGTTGATTCCATCCTCCTGGTGTACCTTATAATTATCAGGAAAAGATGAACAATTAGAAGAAACAAAATGTTCAAGTCAAAGAGTTCATCAATATTCAAATCATGAGAATCCTAGAAATTTAGAGAAAAAAAAAAAAAAAAGAAAGACCTATTAGGTCATCTAGTCCATCTCAATATAGGATAATTTCCCTGTTGTATACTACACTCATGCTTAGGCTAATTTTCAAATGTCTTGAAGGATAATGCTACTTTTTCTCCAAAAGTGATCTCATAATTCAGTAAAAATCAGGCTCTGAAATTTCTTTATTTAAATTCTATATTTTTATCTGCAAATCTCTAGCTGAATATTCTAGCAGCACGATTCTAATTACCATATTGGCCCAAATATAAGGCAGTACTGGGCAGAGGCAAGCTCCTCTACTTTTTATGGAAGAGAAACATCTAAAGTAGCTCTACAAAGGATGATCTCACACTTTGACTCCCTCTTGTGCGGCAGCACAACAGCAGAAATGGTCTGGGCTTGGGAGTTAGAGAGACTCTTGGGTTTGAAATTTACCACTTAATCTCTGCATGAGTTTGGGCATGTTTCTGAGCCATGTGCCTCGTGTGCACAAGGAGATACAAATGACTACCTCACAGAGCTACTGGATGGAGAGGGCCTCGGGGTCAAGAGGATGGCTGCAGAATCGGGACGCTTGACTGGTATGCTGGCTCTACCATTTACCAGCCACGGAACCTTGGCAAAGCTACTTAACCTCGAGCTTAGGAGCATCACCTATAAAATGGGATTAATAAAAATACCTACCTGATAGGGTAGAAGTGAGGATGAGAGAACAGTGCTGAACACACAGTAATAAGCTCTCATGATCAATATTATTTTTAAATTATCACTCCAAGGATTAAATGAGCTACAAGCCTGGCACATGTGGGCCCTGGATACATGCTCTCCTACCCTGCCCCTCCATTGCTATTAAGCCTCAACTACTAAGGCTACTGCATTCCCAGATGTAAAGTCTGATAAACAATATTGATAGAACTGTTATCCCTTTTCCCTAAATTATCTCTTTATTAAACTTCACTTTTAAAAAAATTTTTTAAATTTTGGTAAATGACTCTTTTCTTTCCTACCTTCATTCTTTGCATTTATTTAACCACAAAGAGTGCTATTTACGTACGCAAACTATTACAATATAGGACTGGTTTGATTGACAAGGTATTTCTGTCAATCATTAAACCCTCTGTGTCTCCATCAGCAAAAGTGGCCCTCCAAGGCTGCTTCCAGGGCAGGAGCTCCGGCTCCTTCACACTGCACTAGAATGCTATATTAGTTCCTTACGTGAAGCTGTGGAGAAAATGGGAAAGCTAATTTGAAGTAGATTTTTTAATATCTATCACATTCTTTAAAAAAAACCCCACTCTTAAAATTACCTCTTCAGAACCATTAATGCCTCCTACTGGTTCTATTTGACTGATAACTTATAACCTCAAATTCAGTGCATGTAATTAAAAGGAAAACATGAAAGCCCTCTCATCAACTCCTTGCTCCTTCTGAGCCTCTTTTAATGTTGCCGACCAAAGAGGTTCTAAATTTTGGATGATTATAAAATCAGCTCATTTCAAAAGCAGTTGAGAAAACCTACGGATAATATAGGCCTAATTTGGACCAACATGGTATTCTCTTGTCAAATTTTATTTGCTTTGGGTTTTTCTATCACTGATGCAGCTTATAAGTAATCTTGGGGGTAATATTTTTTGAACATGTTTCTAAAACCATGACACCAATAAAAACAACATAAAGCAATTTTTGCTCTAAATATTGGCTCAGTTTATCTAGTACAGCAGTCCTTAATTAGACTGACTTGCAAATTACTTTGTTTTCCCTCATATGCTAGGTGATTAAATGTTTTAATTTAAGTAGAGAGTGCCAAGTGTTTTTATTATTTTATACTTGCACTGAAAGGTGATTGCTTTTTAATTGGAATCAACTTTGAGAATGTACAATTCAAATAGTAGTAAGTTGAGAAACTGAGGTTTAGAAATGGAGACCTTAAAACTAACAATTTCTTCTTTTGAGGGTAACAGGAGCCAATTTACTTAAAGTAAATTAATTAAATTAAATGCAACTATGTCTTTAGAAACACTAAAAACTACTTACAAAAAGCTGGAGGAACTTGAGGATTCTTTTGTGGGTAAGAATATAAAGTGCATTCCCACTGATAGGGTCAATAACTGGCAATCTGTGGATTTTATTTTTGATCAACGAGTATACAGCATCGAAGAGGCTGCGGGAAAAGCCATTAAAGTTGTTAGGAGGCTTTGAAGAAAAATCAGAAAACTTTGGACCACCCCTGCTTTAAAGCATTTTCAGTAGTTTTATGTTACAGTAATAAAAGGTTGACTGACTTTAAACAGTGTTTTGGAAAAGTTTTAAATTGGAAATCTCAGCAAATTTTTTTTTCTTGATTTTTCACAATCTGTGTTAACATATCTCAAATGCAAGTGCGAGCTACAAATGTCTAGAAGAGGAATTTTTTAATAGTGCATTTAGTGATTTTATCTGAAAGATCACGAAACCGAAACCCTTAGGAAAGCTAGCAGACTAGCAGTACTGACAACAGAGTCGAAGCTGCTGAGCTGATGATTCTGGCTCTGTCTCTGCCAGCCCTGCTGGGAGAGCCAGTCCTGCTGTTCTGCTCAGTGTCTCTCCCGTGACTGCCAACGAGAGGGCTTAGTGGGTATGCCTTTCTGTTACAACTTGGAAATAAAGTAATAAAAATAAATATTTTACTTTTTCTCTATAATGGTCTTGAGTTTTAAAAAATGCTTTTCTACAACTGTGGAAATGTATCAGAGCCATCCCAGAAGCCTTGGATCAAAGGATGGACTAGAAGACTGCAGCAGGCAGCTCCTTCTTCTGGCCACCTCTGACCCAATGTCTAACACACACTGATTTTTAATCGTCGGGCTGGAGGAATTGTTTAAATGCATATTCCTGGGCACTACCCTCTAAAGACTGATGATTCAGTAGGTCAGGAGCAAAGCCCAGGAATCTGCAATTTTTTTTTTCCCACTTAGACATGAAGTTTTATTATTTTTATTTATTTATTTATTTTTTTCGTTAAATTTTTATTTTGTCAATATACAATGTATATGATTATTATGGCCCATCACCAACACCTCCCTCCCCCTCCCTCTCTCCCCTCCCCCCCAAGAATGTCCTTTCCGTTTGCTTGTTGTAACAACTTCAAAAAAGTATAGTTGTTATTTCTTCCCCCCCCCCCGGTTTTTTTTTTGTGTGTGTATGTGGGTGAATTAATTTGTTTATGTATAGTTTAAAGTCAGGTAGTGTTATGCCTCCAGCTTTATTTTTTTTTGCTCAGCATTGCTTTGGCTATGCGAGGTCTTTTGTTAGTCCATACAAATGTCTGGAGAGATCTTTCTATTTCTGAGAGAAATGTCATTGGAATTTTGATGGCGATTGCATTGAATTTATATATCACTTTGGGCAGTATGGCCATTTTCACTATGTTGATTCTTCCAATCCAAGAACATGGGATATCTTTCCATCTTCTTGT